AGTTTTAGTTGAGACTTAAAGAAAGCCAGGGAGGTCAGTAGTTGGAGAAGAAGACAGAGAACATTCCAGAAATGGGGGACAGCCAGAGAGAATGCCCAGAGCAGAGAGATGGAGTGTCTTTTGCATGGAATAACCAGGAAGCCAGTGTCACTGAACTGAAGAGTATATTTTGGGGAATAAGGTGTAAGAAGACCAGAAAGGTAGAAGGGGGCTAGGTTATGAAGGATTTTGAATGCCAAACAGAACATTTGGTATTTGCATATGATTAACAAGCATAGTTAATTCCGCACAGAACAGACTCTCAGTCTTTTTTCATTCATATTCAAGTCAGCTGACTTTGCCCTGTAGAGCTTCAGTCCACAGGGATCCCACCTTTCTTTCCTCCAAACCCTTTGAAATCTGGTTCCTAAAATCTAAATTATTACAGTCAGATTATACTTGGCTTTCCTCTTGTTTTCTATCACTAATTACAGGGGGAAAGGGTCACTTCTCCCTAAGGATCCCATTATTTCCAACCCAGCAACCAGTTCCTATTAGCAGTAATCAGATTTGGTATAGATTTCCCCTGTTGCTTCCTCCTCCTTTTGTAGAATAAAATTACAGGTTCATAGGAGCATAGATCCAAAGCCAGGAGGGACCTCTGAGGTCATTTTGTACAACCCCATTTTAAAGATGAGGAAAGGTCCATAGAAGTTGAGGGACTGGCCCAACATCACACAAGGTAGTGAGCAGAAGAAAAAGGGAAGAGATCGAAACCCAAGTCCTAATGCCAAATCACTGCTGCCTCTTTACTGTTTAAAGTTTAGAGACAGGTGTTCAGTAGATGTCTGGACAACTAGAGTCCCCCACTACTAGTAGTAAAACCTCTCAGTCAGTTCTGTAGTAGACTGAGGGGAAAAAAATTGCTCCTGCTCCCACTACTTTTCACCCAAACATCTTCTATTCTGTTCCCTTACTCAGAGTCTTGGACCCCCTTACATGACTGAACAACACAACTAAACCCTCCTTCTCCCACTACTCACCCTTTTGCTATCCTACTTCTTTTGGGTAAGGTTTTCATTCATTCAGAAACACATTCCAGCAATCACCACCATCACCATAATAATTCACTTTTCCACAGTGCTTTGAGGTTTGCAAAGCATTTTACATGATCCTCACAACAAACCTGAGGTAGGTGCTATTATCCCCATTTTATAGATGAGAAACTGTGACCACAGCGAGAAGAGACTTGTCCTGAGTCACACAGTTAGTAAGTGGTCTGAGGCAAGATTTGAACTTGGGTCTCCCTGACACCAAGGCCAGGGCCCTATCCCCTGCACCACCTAGCTATTTATGAATCCTGGGTCACATCGCTCAGCAGTTCCTGTGAGGCTTTGCCTCCTTGTGTTAATAAGGAATGTAGTTCTTGCTTGCTAGCTAAACTCTGGCCATCTGTGTACAGATATTTGAGATCAAGAGCTTTATTTAGTACTGGCTCCTTTCTTAGGAGTCATCACTAGTGAATCACCAGTGATTCTTCCCACATCTGACTTCCTAAACATGCTCTCTTGTACTGTGTCAGCATAGGCCCTGACCCTATCTCTGGATAAAAATCGGCTTCACACCGGCCCATGGGTTCACAGTTAGGTCCTGCAATCCTTTATCTTTGGAAGCAGCCATAATTCTTGCTCATTAGCCTTTTTCCCCTCCTCTCTTTTCTGAATTAGGTGGTGCAGTGAATGCAGTGCTGGACATGGAGACAGAAGACCCCAGCACGAATCCCGCTTGAGACACTGGCTTCCTCATCTGTAAAATGGGGATAATAATAGCACCTAGTTCTCAGGGTTGTTGTGAGAATCAAATGAGATAACACGTGAAAAGCACTTGGCAAAACCTGAAGTGTAAATAAATGTTAGCTATTATTATGATGATTATAGTTCAACCTGGATAACCAGTCATCAACACTTTAGATGTAGTATCTGTGTCATATACAGACTCAAAGGCAGAACTGCAAACAAAGACTGCCTTAATGGTAACTTATATGACTGCCCTAATGATATCTTACATATTAATTATATGTGTGCATCCTACAGTGGAAAGTGGCCTGGATTTAGAACTGGACAGCCCATGTTAAAATCTATTGTAGCCCCAGATAATTGCCTTCTGGGCCATCTCAGAGATGCAAGACACCCCAATATATGAACTAATAATCAAAGGTCTTGAGTAAGTGTCAAACTTGTTCACTATCCCTATAGCAGGTTTTGGAACTTGAGGAAATGGCTCATGAGAGTTTAATCAAAAATCCAGGCCACCAAATGACCTCAAGACAACCCGAGTAGGGAAGAGTCTCTCAGACTTCAAACCCATGGCCATCATCCTGACAATGGCCAAGTAATTTAGAGACAGAACTCCCTAGGTAGGCTCCTATTTGTATTTACTATTGCTGTTCAGTCATTTTAGTTGTACCCAACTCTGCATGACTCTGTTTGGGGTTTTCTTTGCAAAGATGCTAGAGTGGTTTGCAATTCTTTCTCCAGATCATTTTACAGATGAGGAAACTGAGGCAAACAGGGTTAAGTGACTTGCCCAGGGTCACACAGCTAATAAGTGTCTGAGGCCATATTTGAATTCATGAAAATGAATCTTCCTGACTCCAGGCCCAGCACTTTATCCACTGGGCCACCTAGCTGCCTTCCCCCACTGTCCATATTAAGGTTACTATCTGAAACCCTTCCATATAGTTTTAATTGCTTTTTACTCTCCTTTGCTTTCATCCCTAAAACTTTTCTTTCTGTCTCCCCAATTATAACTTTAGAGAAAACTGTTCACTTGGACCCAAACAGCCTCATAGCACCTGAAATCCCAAATTAAATCTCTTCCATTCTCTCCTTACCTTCCCTTAGCAGACCTTAAGCAGATGGTCAAGGGTGGGCATTTCAATACTATGCCTCTCATCCCTTTCAACCAGTTACAATGCCCCCAAATCTAGCTCTGGAAGTACTCATAATAGACAGCATCTCATTCCCCACCAATCACCATCCCAGAACCCTAGAACACTGAGAGATCATTTCTAATATGCATTAGAAGGGACTCTTCCTAAGACAAAGGGAAAGCTGCGGAGCCACCTTTGGAACTGTCACATCACGACGTCAATTACTATGCAGATTTGGAATACCACAGACCTTCCTCCTAATTCTAGCCTTCCTGAAGCCTCAACTGGTTGTGGAGAATATCCTCTAATAAGACCTGTTGAGGTATGTAAGTCTTGTACACAGGTTTTCTCCTTTCCCCTTCCTTAGTGGGGATGTTAACTTACCACTTTTTCATCTGGAGAGGTCTTTGCTGCCAAATATAAGTTGAAATGTGTAGAAGAAATAACCAAGTCTCCTTATTTAAAAAAAAAAACACCTAGAATTCACACAGGAGCCCTCATTCAAATGGCTCGAGTCAATGGTCCTAATTCACCAGCTCTGCCACTTACTAGCTGTGTGAACATGTCTATTGATCTCTCTTAAGCCTGTATTCTGCCTTACCCCTAAAATGAGGGGGTACAGACTGCATGACTTTTAAGGTCTCTTCTACCTCTAAATCTTTGAGGCCCCATTTCCTCTCATTACTACAGTAGGGGGAAAGATCACAAGGAACAGAGCAGCAGAGTAGACTAGAGAGGCAGCTGGATGTGACAACGGTGTTTGAATTCTGCTTCAGACAAGCGCTGTGTAACTCTGGACAAATCACTTCACATTCTTGGAGCCTCAGTTTCCTTATTTATAAAATGGGGTTAAAGAATACTAGCCTAACTCATAGGGCTGATATGAAAATTAAATGAAGTTCATTTATATAAAGCATTTTGCAAACCTTAATGGACTATGTAAATGTGAGTTATCTATCTTTAGTATTCTCTGACAGAAAGTCAACGAAATGATCAGACTTGGATACTCTGATCAACACAATGACCCAAGACAATTCCAAAGGACTCATGATGAAAAAATGCTATCCACCTCCAGAGAAAGAGAAATGAACTGTGAGTGCAAATTGAAATATAATTTTCTTACTTTCTTTGTTTTTACTGTTCCTTTTTGCAATATGACTAATGATTTCATGGGGATAATTGATATCACATTGCTTATGTTCTCAGTGGGTGGAGGAGGGGTGGGAGATAATTTGGAACTCAAAATTTAAAAAAATGTTGAAAATAGTAATTTTTTTAAAAAGCAAAAAGGTTAAAGATCAGAGTGGAATTCCATTATCATCATGATTATTTCCTTCCTGTAATGGGAGGATTAAGATGGGCCCGTCTGAAAAAGTGAATTTCATGCATAAACCAAATTCATGGCCCAAAACACAATGGTGGACAGGCTAATGCTATGCTAAAGGCAGTCCATACCTTGAACTCAACTCACCTCCAGAATAAGTAATTTATCTTTTTACTCCCCTTTCCTGATCCTGATCTCTTCACTCAGGTTATCATTTTTTTTTAATGGTGGAGCAAATCACACCAACGACAAAAGACTGACTCACAATACACAGCAGAGAAGCACCATGCTTATACCTGTGGAGCTGCAAAGACTATTGGAGTGCTGCATCACAGATTTTTGCATTAAGGAAAAGCAACTTCCCATGTTTTCTGGACAGCTTACAAAATGGTAGCATGTGCAGCTTATATATTGTCTCTATCAACAGCAAAAGGATTATACAGTTGCTAAAACTTCCCTTCTCCTACTCCCCAGCTCAATGTTACATGATACTTCAAATAAAGCCAACTGGGAGTCCTTGACCAAAGGTGTTAGTCAACGGAAGCGTAAATACCAAGTTTCCTCTCTTTGACTCATCTCGTGGGTGAATAAGAAGCCCAAAGAAGAAACTGTCTACCCTTAGCATTCTCTTTTAATTTCTAGCATCACCAACCAAATTGGCACTTGCTTCCTTCATGACCCTGATTTACCTGATCCAAACACCCCCTCTAGCACCTCTGCCTTAAGTTCTCAAGGCTGCCCACACGACCAAGTGCAGGTACTTACCAAGAATATAAGATGCAAGCAAACAGGAGCGTGGTACCCAGGCCCGTGACCAGATTTTCATCTCTATAGAGTTCCTGGCCAAAGTTCGGTGAGCAAATTGTTATGTTCTTCTGGTTTTTATCCAAAACTTGAAAGGAAAAACAGAGTAACCACAGTCAGTGAGAAGCAGCATGCCATCAACTCACAGAAGAAGATGATAACGTTCAGGGAAAAGCTAACCCAGCTTTTGAGAGTCTCTTGGACAGCAAGGAGATCAAATCAGTCAATCCTTAAATTAATTCAGACTCTCCACTGGAAGGACAAATACTAAAGCTGAAGCCACATAACGAGAAGACAGGACTCCCTGGAAAAGACCCTGATTTTGGGAAAGACGGAAGATAAAAGGAAAAGGAGGACAGCAGAGGATAAGATGGATAGATAGTGTCATGGAAGCAACAAACTTGAGTTTGGACAGACTTTGGGAGATAGTGCAGGATAAAAGGATCTGGCATGCTATGGTCCATGGGGTCACAAAGAGTCAGAGGACATGACTGAACAACAACAGCGTGTGCTGTCCCTCAGGATCCCAAAGCAGGAGACGCTTTGCTCTACATAGCCAAACATTGTATAGGACAGACTTCGGGGTATTTCTCTAGAGAAATAAAGGTGAACTCTACCCCTTTCCTTACTCGGGGCACACCGAGAGGAGATGGCATGCAAGAGATCTGCATCCCCATCTGGGAGCTGCCCTAAAGACAAGCTAAAGTGACCAGAAGTTCCACGTTTCCAAAGATCAACAGGCTCCTGTCCTCATGTCTTCTAAAAGAGATAAGGAAACACACACACTCTGTATTAGATAATTATACTAATAGCTTGGTGTCACTTTATAGGCTATTTCTCTGTAAATACCCTGTAAAGCAGAAGCCTTTATTTCATTTTGTTACTTCTGTGCCTCCTAAGAAAAAGGCAGGATAGTGAAAGAAAATATTTAAGATAGGGCCTTTTTTTTTTTTTTGGCTAGGCAAGGGGTTAAGTGACTTGCCCAAGATCATACAGCTAGTAAGTGTTATGTGTCTGAGGCCTCATTTGAACTCAGGTCCTCCTGAATCCAGGGCCAGTGCTCTATCCACTAGGCCACCTAGCTGCCCCTCAACATCCCCTGTTCTCTTCTTTTTTTTTTTCTAGGCAATTGGAGTTGAGTGACTTGGCCAGGTCACACAGCTAGTGTTAAGTGTTTGGTCTGAGGGCAGATTTGAACTCAGATCCTCCTGACTTCAGGGCCAGTGCTCTATCCACTGCGCCACCTAACTGCCCCTAAGGTACGGCCTTTTAAAATAAAAACTTAAAAAAAAAAGTTACATCATCTACTTTATCATAACAAATAACTTCCTTAATATTACCCAATGTCCTGGCCCACATAGACCCCAATTCTAAATATAGAAGTTGGGTTTAATTACTAACCCTGACCACACATAATTAGCACAGATCGGAAATAACCCTAGAAATCATTTCACAAACAGGCAAATCCTAGGTATCTGAAGTTGCAATGAAATTATTATTAGCGATTAAGGCTTTAAAAATAGCTATGCACACAATGGTTTGGAGTGTGTTGGTTTTCATCCCAATGGAAAAAATCTTTTCTTGAAGAGTACTGATCTCAGCCACAAATAGGCATTTTCTGTCTAAGTAGAGCCGTTTGAAATTAAAAATAAATGTGCTCTCAGAGCTGGTGCAGCACTTCCAATATTTTACCATAACCAAGTAGCACAAAAGTCAAAACCTGGAGTCTGTGAAAAGCCATGAAAGAAATCAGGCTTAAAGCAAAAACATGCAGGATATTCTCTTTGTCTTTTTTTTTTAAAGTGAGAGCTAGTGCTTTAATAACATGATCTGAGTCTTCCACCTGCAACTCTTCTTCTTTTGAAGAGCTACACAGAAAAAAAATAGGCATAGTACAAACTGAGTCTTCCAGTAGCAGACACTGTGATGGGTAGACTATTGTGATGGGTACTGAGTCTTCCAGTAGTAGACTATTGTGATGTGTACTGAATTTAAAGTTCCAGACAATGGGAAATTTGTTTATTTTATGCATGACCCAGCAGCTATGCTTAAGCTTTTCTATTATGAAAACAGTTTTGATAAAGATCAATCTCCACTTTGTCTAAAATGAAAAGTAAATGGCTTAAAGTTCAGAGAAGCTGAAAAGACTTAGAACTTTATTTGCAAGGTTCAATCTTTGTTCACAGCAAGATTTCTGTTGTTGTTTTAGTCTACTAGTCGTGTCTGACTTTGTGATCCCATTTGGGATTTTCCTGGCAAAGATAAGAGTTGCCATTTCAGTTTCCTGCTCATTTGACAGATGAGGAAACTGAGGCAAACAGTGTTAAATGATTTGCCCAGGGTCACACAGCTAGTAAATGCCTGAGGCCAGATCTGAACTCAGGTCCATCTAGCTGTTCTTTCTAATGTTCTTACTAAAGCAACTTTTGGCAAAGTCAATCACTTAGAAGGGAGGAGGCTTCCAAATGGATATCAGACCAGCCAACAAACAAAGACCTGGCAGCCTTTCAGCTACCTTTCCTTCAGCAGCTGTCGTTTATGTATTCACAATTAAGGATTCCATTAGGTTAAAAGACCTCCAAGTAACAACTCATTTGAATTTTTATGTTTTCAAACAACAACTTATAAAATATGAAAGAAAAGTTCTTCCCCCACAAATCACACACGCCCAACACAGGTAATTAGTCTGACACTTACTTGTCTCCACAGGTTTGCTGGAGAGAGCTGAGAAGGTGAGATATGTGACATAACAGCTAATGAGGCCGGACTGCAGTAACCCGGAGTGAGGCTGCCCTGAAAATGGAGAAGAGGTCCGTGATTAGAGAATCCCTAGAGGCCAGAAGAGGTCTTAGATGCCATCTGGTCCAACCTCTTTATTTTATAGAAACTCAGGTCCAAGATCCTAAACTCAGTCAAGAGCAGGGCCAAGATTCCAATCTAGGGTCTCTGACTCCAAATTCAAATGCTTTATGCTGTACCATGCTATTATGAAGATGGAACAAACCTCAGGAAAGAGGAAACATTTTTTTCCCAGTGGACATCCTCTGAATTTGGGTTTACAGGCTCCTAACAAAACTTCCTGATTCTAAAATGAGAGGCCTGCCATAGTTTGAGAGGAATTAGAGAGAAGGAAATTACATATACTTTCACAAAAGATACTTTCTGCTACTATCTAGAATTTCTAAATATAATTAATCTTGATAATGTTTTTTAACTTAATAAAATTTAAATATGTTTATATTTTTATTATTTATATATTATATTATTTATTTGACTTATTATATTCCTCATTTATTGTGTGTTCTAATATATTATTATATGTTAATATATTTTAAGGGGAATTTGTATTAATGAAAAGCAGAAACATACCCTGGCCCATGCTGCCAATTTTTTGCCAACACCTCATGATAATGATGTTGAAATGGAACCAGCCCCAGGGGCATCCTGAAACCTAATCTGATTCCTAAGCGCATTATAAGAAGAGTGTCACTTCAATTATTGCTAGAGATCTCCAGTGGCACAATGGGGTAATGTAAGAGACATCTTGGGAGCAAAGCACCACAAATTCTATTTCCCAACTAGATGCACATCAGCCCCCTGGGGAGGGAGGGCAAGATATCTGTTTCTTCATCTGTAAAAGGGCAAAGGCACTAATACTTGATGGAGTCCTGAGTGAAGAACAAAACTGGTATCAATTAAGGAAGAAATCTATTGGGAGGCAGGCTCCAAGAAAGAGAGGTGTCCCTGGCTCCTAAGACGCTGGATTTTAAATGAACTGGCTGATTGAGCTACAATTTACAGTCATTAGCTCCCACATGGAACATTAAACTTGTTTCATGACTAATCATTTTTGTTGTGATTTTTTTGGATTTATGATGATACTACAATTATGACAAGGGCTCGCAAATTACTCATTGTGTTATTGAATCTTTAAAACCAAAATGAAAAGCGCAGTGCCCGCCACAGATGTCTATCATGGATACCTCTCATGTGGGCCCTTCTCAGATGAAGTCATCATGGCTTAGAGCTTCCACTGAATAACCTTTTTTTTATGTCATGGACTGCACTGGAAGCCTGGTAAAGCCTACGGACCTCTTCTCAGAATGACGTTGGGCATTTTAAAAAATTCATGGTAGAAGAAAATGCTAAATTTAGTTAAAGGTTAGTAGTTAGTTAGTTAGAAGTTAGAGGCTAGAGGTTAGAAAATAAAAATGTATTTTCCCATCCAAGTTCACGGATTCCCTGAAATCTACCCATGGACCAAGGGGTCCACGGACCCTGAATTAAGAACTCCCAAATGTTCAAATAGATTGTTCATAAGGTCCTTCTGTGATACAGGCATTGAGATATAGTACTAACATATGCCTTAAATGGTGGCCAAAGTTACCATATCAAGTAGTGATGGGGAGAAGAATGGGAAGGGGATAAATAGCTAGGCATATATTTAAATTTGTTCAACAAAAGCTGCAGTCACAATAGGCTTTGCTCACACTCTCACTTACAATAATGGACTTCGAATTCAAACTTCCCTAAGTTCCCCAAACCGTGTAGATTAGTTAATAAATCAATCCTAATAATGTATTAGCCTCTAAAGCACTCAAAAGCACAAGCTTATTAATGTGACAACACTCTCCTCTGCCCTCTTGAAACTCTATCTTCTGCTGTTAAGCAAGACAGCTATGGGGAAGCATGACAACAACGTCACATCATCACAGGAATCTATCATATCTTTCTTTACCCCAAAGAAAAGTGCTGGCTTAGATCATCAAAAATGTGAGGACAGCTCTAGGGCTAATGTGAATTCAAACATCTCCTTCTAATACATTATTTCTGAAATAGGAATAAAAATGCTGTCATTTCCTGCTGCAGAACTACCAGAACCACACGGCTATAGGGGACTAGGTGTGTTCTTGTGTGGTTAGTAACTCACACATGCCTTTCCAGATCTCTACACCCTCCAAATTCCTTGAAGACAAGGACTATTTGTGTCTTTGAATATCCAACACATAGCAGAGTGTCTAGTTACAGAAAGGTGCTTAATATAATCTGGTTGAATTGCAACTTTTCAAAGCATTTTGACACCTATAATCTTAAAACTCAAAAGTGTGTAAGAACAGATATCATTAGTCCTTTTTGACACACTGATGGGTTAAGTGATTTGCCTAATGGCACACATTTTGTTAACTGACAAAAGTCTTACTTTGACAAAGTCTTATTTTGCTGTGTTTGTATCCCTGAAACCCAGTAGGTCTTTCATAAATACTTAGTGATTGACTGAGCAATCCTAATCCTGACTCCTAGTCACTGTGCTCCACAACTATTAATACTATATATAGAATATACCATGCTATATACTGTATATAATGTGTGTATACATTTATACACACATATCATATACCACATATAAATGCTACATAGCATATGAATATATACATACTATATGTATATATACATACATATTATAGGTAGTGTATATAGAGAGTATATACGTGTCTATAGAGAGACAGTGTATATGTATGTATGTATGTATGTATGTATGTATGTATGTATGTATACACTATAAATTCCCTCCCAATTTATGGCCTGTATGGGACAAGGGCCAGTGGACTCTAAGAACAGTTAGGTTATTATCTAGATCATAATATATTTACATGTGGCCCATTCCCCATCATACAAGTACTTCTGAAAAGCTGTGTTTTTGGCACAAAGTCGGCTGGAGGTCCTGAAGAAAATAATTATCCCTTCCACATCTCAATTTTCCTCATATCATGGGTCCACATAAGAAATTAAATGGGAATTTGGGGGGAGTTTTGTGGAAGCCATAGATGACACAGAGCCTATGACCAAATACTTAACTCAAATTTTACAAGAAGGTACTGTAAATATCTCATAAAAGAAAAGAAAAAATTCAGACTTCTTTTCTGGTACAAAGGGAGGGCCAAACATTTTACACAGATTTTCCAGATTGTGGGCTGCCCGACATGTGGAAGGGATAACTGCAAGTATTTATTGTTCCTGAGCTATTCACTCGTGTCTCCAAGAACCCAGAGAGCAACAGCCTCAAATAGCTAAATCTGCAGCTGGCCCTGCAAAAGGAGTAGGACAAGCTAGAGGCAACAAGACCTTCTGAGACCTCCTCTGTCCACATTACCCTCCAGCCCAGACCTAGTCTTCCCACTGCCCCAGTCATTCCCTTCTAGGACCTGACACCCAAGCAAGCCCAGGCTGGAATACAGTCCACTCAGATTCCCCTAAGTTTATCGGGGATTTGGATTTGGGTTTGACTAAATATGCTGATCCTTCCTAGAGCCTCCTAAATGTACCTGGGTCAGTGATGATGGGGGGCAGGAAATCCCACTGAGGCTTTAAAAATACTGTCTCATTTGGACCCCACAACAACCCCAAGAGGTAGGTGCTGTTATTATCCCCATTCTACAGATGAGAAATAATAATAATAGCTAACATTTATATCACACTTACGATGTGCTAGTCCCTGTGAGTCACAGCTACAATCCTACAAAGTACTGTGCAAACTGAACTTTGGATGTATTTTAAAGGCTGCAGGTCTACTATCTATGGGGAAGTCTCTTATGAGGCAAAGAACTATTTGTAGTTATTTTGAATAACCCACTAATTTGCTGATTTTTACAAATTTAGTTAATAATCTTGTGTTCATCAAATCCTTTCTGAACTGGCACATATGTGCACGTCATACTCAATCTAGATGTGTGGGATGTAAACTGGGAACAGGATCCCTTGTGGAATCTCAGGTGGGTTTTCCAGTTCTGTTATTACCATCAACCTAACCACATTAGTGAATAAACAAGAATACCTCAAATAGAAACCCACAGGGTTCTAGAGCAGAGGTATCAAACTCAGCTATTTCCTGATGCTGGAACCAGATTAAAACGTATTTGGGAAACATTTAACAAAATAAATGAAAATACAACATAGGTAATGTTAATTGGTGATTGTCTTAAGTCAACATTTGAATTTGACACCACTGTTCTAGACCTTTCTAGACAATGAGGCAGAGAGAGGGGAAAGAAGAAAAAGTCTTAGTCACCATGCTTACGATTTTGTACACAGGGTGAGATGGCTACCAGTGAAATAAGCAGGCAGAGGCCTCCATTGACACCAACGAAGATCTTGTTCTGCAAGCAGCCTTCCTCACGCGTGTAAAACCAAGCCATCAATATCAGAGCCCCCACGGCAATCGTGTACATGAGAAGGGTCACCAGGGCGAGGAAGGCGTACCACATTTTATTATGAACTGTGCCCGCAGTCCTATTTCCAAGAAGGAGAGAGAAGAAAGAAGATTAGTCAGAGGATCGTTTGTCTTAGAAAATACACTGTTGGAGTAAATAAATCCCTTGTAGTCAGCCCCCAGGATGATGTAAGGAGTAGTACAAAAGGCACACGCTGGCTTTCTGAAATGAATGCACCCCGTGACGATGCTTGATGGGCTGGGAAATGTTTGACCTACTTTGTCTAAGAAACTTATAAATGCCCATTGGAAACTGCTTTAGCCTTCTACTTCTGGCTAGGTCTAGGTCTGGCACCCCACCACCACCATTGCCTTAAATGGATGCTTGTTTCCAGAACTTCTGAGTTCTGGAAACACATATGTTTTTACTCTGGGACATCTTCGTGAACTCCTGAAAAGAAAACCATTAGTCACAATGGCATGATTACATGATGCAGTAGGATGAGTTTTGGCATGTACTTAAGTCAGCTCTCCCCCAAGGCTCCTGTTCAAAGAAGCTTTCCTTACTATTCAAATAGCCTAGTAGTTTTTATTAGGTCTTACACCATGACATTCCCCTGCTCAAGAAGCTTCAATGGCTGGCTCCCTATTGCCTCTACGATAAACAACAGCCAACATGTATGTAGTGATTACTGTGTACCAGACACTGTGCTAAGCACTTCACAATTGTTTTCTGATCTGAGCCTCACAACAACCCTGAGAAATGGGTGCTGTTATTATTCTTGTTTTACAGATGTGGAAACTGAGGCAAACAGAAGTGAGGTGACTTGCCCAGGGTCATACGGCTAGTTAGAGCCAACGTAAGATTTGAACTCAGGTCTTCCTGACTCCAGGTCCAGCTCTCTATCCACTGTGCCACCAACTGCCTAAACAAAGTCTTCTTGGCTTTTAAAGCCCTTCACAATCTAGCTTCCAGGTAGATGACATGTTCCTCCCCTTTGCATACTCTACTCAGGCCAAACTGGCATAGTCTTGTTCTTTTCACATCTCCTTTCTCCAAGCTTTTCCACACCTCATCCCCTATACCTTCAATATCCTCCTCATTTCTGCCTCTAGGAGCTCACAGATCTCATCAATTCAAGTCTCAACTTCCTTCCTGAGGCCTTTTCCTGAATCCCCTAGTTCAGGAGTGGGGAACCTACAGCCTCAGTTTCCTCATTTTATAAATAAGGATTCAGTCCAAGGGCCACACTTGAGGACCTAGAAGATCACATGTGGCCTCAAGACCACAGGTTCACTACCCCTGCCCTAGTTATTAGTACCGGCCCCCTCCAATTACTCTGTATACATTTTCTGTACAGATGTCACTTCCCCTAGTGGACCATCTGCTCCCTAAGAACAAAGGCTGTTGTATTTTTGTTTATTTGGATTTCTAACACCTTACACAGTACCTGGCATGCAGTAGGCACTTTTAATAAATGCGCACTCTGATCTAAACTAATTCCAGAATTGCCTTGGCAGCATCTCTCTCTTCAGGGTTGTGACCAAATTACCATCATTCAAAGTCATGTTTTCTGTACCTCACTACTTACCATACATAAGGGAGGGCAGCAAGAGAATTATAATGATGAAGATAAAGGAAGGCCTGGAAAAATCAGGAGAGGAGGCAAGTAGGAGGATTTTTACATAAGAAAACTGAAGAGAGGACAATACCATGCAAAAGAAAACACAGAGAGACTTTAAGTATGGTTTCCCAATAACAACGTTGATAGCAAAAAAAAAAATTTGTGTATCAAAAAAAAAATCTTATTATTGGTGGGAGAAAGAAGGGAGACATGATTCCAAACCTTCAGAAACTGTTCACAAAAAAAGAAAAGAGAGAGAGAGAGACAGAAACGAAGAAAAATACTGCATGAATCATTGTCATCTGACTTTCAGAATCAGGTTGCTTTCTGCAACCTCATTCTCAAGAAACACAGCAAAGAAAAAAGGGAACAAGAATTTTCTTACTGTTCACAAAATTGGAAGACATTCAAGGAACCCATTATAAAAAGTAACTGTAAGCAAAGATGAATTAAAACAGGAAAGGATAGGACTACAACCATTCTGTGGTGATAACAGTACAGGAATGCCTCAAACTACTGACCACAAAATTATCCCCAATTAAAAGATGAAAAAAGTAGGAAAAATTTTGAGAAGGAAGAAAGCATTTATTAAGTACTTACTATATGCCAGGCACTAGGGTAAACACTTTACAAACATTACCTCATTTGATCCTCATAACAACCCTGAGAGGTAATTACTAGTGTTTTCCCTATTTAGCAGTTGAGGAAACTGAGGCTGAAAGAGGTTAAGCGATTTGCCCAGGATCACACAGCTAGTTAAGTGCTTGAGGCCATATCTGAACTCTCTGAGTCCAGGCCCAGAGTTCTATCCGCTGTGCCACCAGATGCCTCTGGATTAAAGAACATTTTAAAAAAACAACCCTAAAAAACAATGTGTGAGAGAAAAAATGACTTGTATAAAGATAATACTCCATTCAGCTGGACCCTTCATTCGTCCACTGCTCCACCATGTTATGTTTTCCAGTCTTTTATATTCACTACTTTGGTGGACCTATGATTTAGAAAATGGGTAATCTACTTATGTGATAGAATTATTACTTACTGGGGTTTCCCATGGGTTCTCTCTCCCTCCTTAACATACCAGCCCATACCAGTCCCCCACTCACATGGAGTTCAGTATTCTCAGACTTGGTTTATGTCCTGAGACCTACAGAGTCATCATACACTGTTCGGCTGACCAGACAGGTTTCCAGAAAGAGGAGAAGGAAGCCATATGCCTACTAAAACTGAAACTAAGTGCTACTATATCCTTACCAATATCCTTTCTTGGCCATGTCTAGGTAAAACCTCTTTTGTAAACTGTTCAATGATGATGAGAATCTCACTTTAAGATGTTAAAAGTGAACTAACAGGGTGCTGATAGAAGGCTCATTCCTACCATTGCAGATACCCCTTACAACCCTTCTGGTACCTTCTTATTCTGTATAATTCTTCCCATGCCTTTCCATATATCCTCCAGAGAAGACAGTCAACGTTTTCATACTAGCTCCTTCCATATTTGAGGGACACTATTTATCACCCTGAACCACCCATCTTTTGGTTACAATTTTTGCTTCAAGACCAGCTCATAGCCACTGCATAGGAAAAAGTTAATTTGATGATGCCTTTTATACTACAATTCATATGAAAGTAACGGTCTGTTAGTCAAGCATTTATTAAGCACCTACTAAGTGCCAGGCACTCTACTAAGTGCCAGGGATACAAAGAAAGGCAAAAGACAGTTTTTAACACAGGAACATGCTACAACCTACTTATGTTCATCACAAGTTTTTCCACTGCCCTTTTGGTTTTTTATCATTTTGATTTTTCTCTAGCAGTAGTCTTCTCTGATCCAAGGTAACATCTCATTCCTGAAAAAACACTGGAGTTAAAGAAATGTGCTGTTGTATAGGGATCTTTGAAAGCACAGGACAACTTACCAAAGGGAATCCAGCCCAATCTCTTCTTCCTACTCAATTTATATACCAACAGAATCTGTTTAAGACATATGAACTAATTCAATCAGCTAACAATTCAACTAAATGTCACCCCCTGGAGAATTTGTATTTTTCATCCACTTTGTTTTTCCAGCACAGATGGCTTAATCAACTTCTTTCACATTAATGTGGATTTCACTGAGGCTTGAGAGGCTATTCTGGGGCTTGTCAGTATTGTATACAAACAGGAGAACTTAGATAGCTTTACTATCAATAGGAAATCTACACTTTGTTTCAACTCTACACAGATCACCTTCTGTGACAATGAAAAACAACTTAGGAGAGCAGTTACTTATGCATTTTGCATCGTTTGATTCCACATATTGCTGAAGATAAGGTTATCTTCGCGGTCACATACGTCCCACAGTGTCACATGTATGTATGGAAAGCACCTTACTGGACATCTCCAAGCTTGCTTTCTGTTCTGATCAGTCATATATATAGAGCTGAGGGCCTAGAGGTCATCTAGTCTGACTTCATTTTACAGAGGGGGGTACTGAGGCCCACAGAGGCCCGGTGGCTTGCCTAAGGTTACAAATCATAAGTAAAGACAAAATTTGAAGCCTCCAGTATTCAATATCCTCCAGGCAATCTTCTCTCCATTGCACCAAGTTACCAGATTTTTTTAAAAAGAAATCAATAAAAGAATGACATTGAGATTTTTATATTTTTTAAACCTCTCAGTTAGTGTTAGTGAGTTCCTTGAGAGGGCATTTGAAATAGTTAACCTTCTCATGCATTCACGAAGAGTCAAAATTTGAGAAATAATAAAGTAGGCATGTGGGTCAGTAATTGCTGTTGTCTCATTGGTTGCCTTTAAGGGGTGGGAAGAACTTAGGGCAGAGGGAGAAAACTAGCTATGCCTTTTTCCATTTTTTTAGAATATTCTCTGAGATATCTCAAAGACAAAAAAAAAATCCCTGGTGATCTTAGAATTGTGGTGCCCATACTGCCTTTCCTTTGTATATAATTGGTCAGGTCCACATGCTCTTCCCAATTTCATTTTTTTTTTTTTTTTGCTTTTTAGGCAATTGGGGTTAAGTGACTTGCCCAAGGTCACACGAGTAGTAAGTGCCAAGTGTTTGGTCTGAGTCCGGATTTGAACTCAGGTCCTCCTGACTTCAGGGCCGGTGCTCTATCCACTGCGCCACCTACCTGCCCCCCAATTTCATCTTTTTAAAAGTCGTTTCCATTTCCACACATAACACTTTAAGCAGAGAAGTAAGAGAGAGCAAATATTATCGCTTTACTTTCTTTGTAATGAAAACAGATCACTATAAAATTGTGATTAAAATGCTAATATGTCTGAGGCCCTTCCTAGTTTCATCTATGAATGTCTTTGTGATAATATGATTCAATCGAATCTCATGCCAAGTTATCATCTCATGCTGTTTTATGAGGCAACACACTCAATCTTCCGTCATCCTCTAATATGTTTTTGCAAATGAGGCTGTAAACTACATCAACCTCGCACTTAGTAAAGAGATTAAATGTTAGCTGACTGAGGCTTCTGGGTTCTTTCGGACTCCTTGTGGTTATGACAGAAACGGTGACAGTCAACGGTTGTTGCTTCTATTCATTATTCAGAGTTGAAAACATTTACTAATTTGATCTTTACTTTGACTTCTGTTATAACCAGGGGATAAACTGACCATACAAAGAGAGCTGATTATGAAAAAATTATTTTTAATTTTAATTAAATTAATTAATTTTAATGATTTAAAGGCACAGAAGGCACACATTCAAATCTGCAGATGACATGAAACTGTAAAGGATAGCCAATGTACTGCATGACAAGCAAGTAACTGAATTTCAATACAATATAAAGTGGATGTCAACAGGGATGTGGTTTGGTTCCACCAGTAGCATATAAAATCATTCACTGGTCACTAGACGATGATCATACATTAAGAGTACCAAGTAACATTAGTGTGATGTCTTAGGACTGCCTAATCTTCACCCCATCTCCCACCATCACTGGAGAAGGGAAGGAGTCACAGACTGAATGGCGTTCTGTATTTGTCCTTTTTTTTTATGAGTTAACACATACACACAAAAAATCAGCTGGCAGTTAACTCTGTGGTGATAGGCTTCTTCAAAGCTTAGCTCATTAGGTCTTTAAATAACTGCCAACTTCTGTGTCACTAGTATTATATTCATAAGATGAAGGATTTCTATTTAGAGCTGGGAGGGATCTTAGAGGCCTTCATTTTATGGATGAGGAAACAGAAGGACCCAGAGTATGTTTGAAAGGATTTGAAGTCAGGTCCTCTTGACTCTAAGCCCAATGTCCTTGAAGTCTTTGTGAGTCAGTATGACTTAAGACCACAGGAAGAGATCTCAGAGACCAATTAGTCCAGGGGTCGGGAACCTGCAGCCTCGAGGCCACCTGTGGCCCTCTAGGTCCTTGGGTGCAGTCTTTTGACTGAATCCAAACTTCACAGAACAAATCCCCTTCATAAAAGGATTTGTCCTGTAAAACTTGGGCTCACCTAAAAGGCTGAGCCCAAGGACCTAGAAGGCCACATGTGGCCTTGAGGCTATAGATTCCCTCCCTGATCTAATCTAATCCTCTTGTTTTACAGATGAAGAAACTGAGGCCCAGGGTGGGTGAAGTGACTTGTCCAAAAAGTAGTTAGAAGTGGGATATGAAGAAAGGAGATTTGAACCCAGGTTCTCCAAGTCCAGAAGCAGTGGTCTTTCCTCTGTTCATTGCCTGCACTCTACTGACATACCTTTCAAGAACTTGAGGTCACCTCCATGCATTAAAGTAGGACCCAGGGGGGTTGGTAGTGGGGTTTTCCAGTCTTTAAAATGACAAAGAGCCAAAAGGGCTTCTGATGAATATTTTCAAGGAGCTTTTCTACCACCCTACCACTCCCCATCCTCAGATTGAGATGACATTTCCTGCAAGAGTAAGGTGCTTTGAACTTTTCCCTATCCTACTAAAATGATGATGATGATGATGATGATGATGATGATGATGATGGGAAAGGGAAGGGAATAGGCATTTATAGAACTATGTGCCAGGCACTGTGCTAAACCATTTTTAAAAACATTATCTCACTTGATTTTCACAACAACCCTGAGAAGTGCTATTATTATCCCCATTTTACAGTTGGGGAAACTGAGGCAAACAAAGGTCAATTACTTGCCCAGGGTAATACAGCTAGTAAGTGTCTGAAGCCAGTTGGATAAGAACTAAGGTCTCGCTGATTCTATGCCCAGTCCAGGGCTCTCAGCTCACAAGCAGATGGAAAAAAAAATTTGAACACCCCACATTTCAAGAAACCTGTCAAAACAGTGTCTTTTTAAGATCTCTGAGATGCATTTGCTTCCCTGCTCTGCTATGAACAGGCATGCCCTGTGGGAGAGGGGCCAGGAAAGGGGCAGAAACAGACAGCACCAGACTGCTGGCAAGCTGAAACTGGACATAGAAACTGCTGGCCGGCCTCTGGTCCTTGAGGAGGACAGGGAAAATCAGTTAGGGAGTACTTGAATCTTAACTGAAAATCCAGAAGACTTCTCATTAGGGAGAAAAAAATCCTCACACAGCACTGGGTTATGTGGGATCCTCTTTCTCAAAATCACTTTTAAAAGTGTGGAAGAAAGAAATATATCCATTTTCTGCATTAGAGCTCTTGATTGAAGGAAAAAAACCCTACTAAATTGGATCATTATGGGTGACATTATTAATTCTTTATTTTAAAAAGAGAAGTATATACTTTATTAATAAATGTTAATAAAGGATTTTTATTGAGATGTCAGTTGCAAGGTCAGGAAGGACACAAGTGACATTCACTATGCAGGTCTAAACTGTGATTTCTAAAAAGTTTTAAAGCAACTCAACCATTTCCAGAAGTGCCAGCCAACAAAACAGCATGGATATTACAGACCCAGAAAAAAAAAAAGGCTTCAGAAGTAAGCAAAACATTACAGACCCAAAAACCCAAGAGGCAGTCCCAAGAGAACACTATTTGTTTTATAGGCAAATAAATGATATTTTGCCAAGGACACTAGGTTTTTACCATGAAGTTCCCTCTTTCAAATATGTACCTAGGTTCTAGGGAGGGAAAAAAAAAAAGCTTGGGGAAAAAAATTAATGAAGTCTTATGAACAATTTATAATAAGTGTACATAAGTGACTTAGGATTGCAGAGCTGGAAAAGATTCCAACTGGACTCCATCTCTCTCATTCTATACAGACGAAGGCACGAAGGCCCAGAAATGCTAACTATCTTGATCAAGATCATACATGTAAGTTCAGAGGCATAACTTGGATTTGAACTTGGGTTCTTTCACTCTAAATCCATAGCACTTTCCAGTTACTATACTGCCTCTAGTTTATGGAAACCACCAAATATGATACAGGATGTCCAAAACAAGTAGAAAGACTGAACACCAAAACAGAGTCACATGAAATAATTTTGACCAAAGGGTCAGATTCAGCAATAGGGACCATCAAGGAGGAAGGAGGTGGTCAGCAGTATGGCTGAAAGACCCAACTTCATAAATATATACATATATACATACATACATACACACACACACATATATACACATACATACACATATATAAACCACACACATACATATATTTATCACTCAGCACATATAATTAGCTTTCTGCCATGAGGATCTTAAATGCTTCCATGACCACTCAGTAGGGCCTAGGCATACTCTAATATTTAGTAGATCATAAACTAATTTTGAACTTTTTGTTAAAGCACACGAGAAAAATATTTTCTTAAGTTTGAAAAACAGAATAACTAGACTAAGAAACCTCCTGAAAGAAAAAGAGGAGTATTCATGCATTGGGTATAAATTGACTTTGACAAACACTACCACTATGTTTTACTATACTGGTACATACCAGTTTTTATTCCATTTATGTGCAAACTCCACAAGTAGAATGAGCTGGATTCCTATAAATACAAATGCTCCAATGGCCCCCACATAGCGCCATGCTGCAAAGCAGAAACCGACACAAAGAAAAAAAAATCAATAAATTCAATTTAAACTAACTCATCTATATAGTGTTATTGCATTTTAGGGCTTATAAATTTATATATTATTACATTTTATAGCCTATAAAGCTACATTTCTGAATGAGATGTACATTTTAATTTATGACCAATGAGAGAATTTCTTTTTCTTGACCATCATATTTGTTACAAGGATTTTGTCTTTTTTTTTTTTCCCGTAGGAAGTTGAGAAGTCAGGGAAGAGAAGGGAAAGAAAATAAATGCTTGTTAAACTACTTTCTGGGGTTTTTAAGTTATAGTTTCATAATATTCATTAATTAGCCCAGAATTAAAGGGATACAGTCAAGGAGCAAGAACATAAATAATATGAAAAGAAAACAAGAGCAAAACCTATAGATTGGGTGGAAACAAAGAGACACAAGTAATTTTCTGAAGAAAGTCCAAGAAAACTACTATTTTGATCAATAAATGCCCTTTTGCTTACACCAATGGTTAATTTCACAAGGCAAGTAAAAAAGCAAAATGTTGCCCCCAAACTCCCTATTGTTACCTTTCAGAAACGTGTCTTGGTCTGGGATGAAGAATGCTCCTGAGCACATGGCCACCAACAATAAAAGCTTAATGAACCAGAATCTGGCAGGGAGGAAAACAAGGAGGAAATGAATTTAAATGTTAAGTACAAAATAAAAATACAATTTAAATACATGAAAGAAAGGAGGATAACTTGCATACAAAAGAGACATCCTAAAAGAAACAGAGCAATCAACTCAAGCTAGGTCTGCTTTCAACCCGTTCTTTGAAAAAATGGTCTCTCAAATTAACTACAAAACACGTATGAAGGAAGATACTATCTGCATCCAGAGAAAGAACTGATAAAAGTATGCATAGAATGATTTTACATATATATACGTATATATGTACACACACACATTTGTATCTGGTGGCAGCCATCTCTAGGGTAGAGGGGGAGAGAGAAGAAAAAAAAAAGAAATTTACATGATAACTTTATTATATATTTAAAGAGAATAGCAAATTGTACATAACAGAATTGCAGTTTCATGCGCGATTATCTTTTTTTAATTATACTATGTTATAGAAATGCTTGTTTTATTCCATAATAAAAATAAAGGAAAGTTAAAAAAAAGAAAAAAGAAAAAGATGGCCTCTTGAAACTAAATGCAAACGATTATCACAGTGACTACAGAGAGCTGGGCTCTGGAGACTTATTTAAAATAAAAACTCCACAACTGAAGAGAGAGAGAAAGATAAGCTGGGTGAAGGTCTTGACACAAGGAATAAACTTGGTGTTTCTCATTTCTACTGCCGCATTTCACAAAGAGGATTCCGCCATCTCCAGACTTAAATTTCTCCAGACCTCTGGACACCCCTGCAGCCCCACAACACACCTCCTTCTAGCTACATTTCAGCTAACGGGCAGGGGGAGAGCGTGAGGAACATCACCCTTCAAAGGGAATCAGAGATTCCTCAGCCTTGTAAGGAAACTGGCAGGATAGGGAAACAGAGGCAGCTAGGCGGCACAGTGGATAGAGCGCCAGACCTAGAGTAAGGAGGATCTGCGTTCAAATCCAGCCACAGACAATCAGTAATTGTATGATCCCGGGCACAACACTTAACACTGTTTGCCTTGGTTTCCTCATCTGTAAAATGATCATGACTAAAACGACTGAACTTCAACAACAAAGGAAAACAGGAACACACATGACAGCCACTTACCCATTGTGAATGTAGGCTCGGCAACTCTTACTGTTGTTTATCTTGATTGTAAATAAGCAGAAGATGAAGAAGAAACAGGCCATTCCGAAACACACTCTGTAAACCGCAGAATAGCCCACTAGCTTCTCACAAGTGTCCCCTGCTTTAATGCCTTTACAGATGTCTTCATAAAAAGGAATCTGAATGGAGAGGAAAGAAGAAATAAATTTTAAAACTGGCTGACACACATGCCTCCATATTGTCAGGGCTTTAGGATAGGGCTGAGGGAAAACAAGGTATGGATAAACAAGGTTTAAGACGGACAAAATTATTTTCCAAGAACAGTTTTTCCCCTGAAAGGTTTTAAATTATTGAGGGGGATGGAGTGGGAGAAGAGAATAAGAATTAATTAAGAGCCTACCATGTGCCAGGCACTGTGCAAAGCGCTTCATTAATATTGTTTATTTTATCCTCACAAAAATTTTTATCCCCATTTTATAGTGGAAGAAACTGAAGCCGACAGAGGTTAAGTGACTTGCCCAAGGTCTCATAGCTATAAGGGATCTAAAGCCACATTTGAACTCAGAAAGGGGTGTCTAACACTAGCCCACTGTACCACCTAGTTGCCTAGTTAGAATAACAGGTGGAGGGACCCGAGTTCAAATCCGGCCTCAGACCAAACACTTGACACTTACTAGCTGTGTGACCCTGGGCAAGTCACTTAACCCAATTGCCTAAAAAAAAAAAAAAGAATAACGGGTGGAGGGAGAGAATCAATATGATACCTACTTATTACCATTCAGCCTTAACTACACCCCAATAATTCATAAGAGTCCAATACAAAAACACATGTATATGGAATCAGATTATTGCAAATTTCATTAGTGAGGTTAGCAATACCATACAACTCTCACAAGAGAAGGAAAGAAAGCCTGTCAGTTTCTCCTTGACAAGACTGAAATTCCTATCACTGACCATAATCTCCTGTCCTTCCAGTTTTCCCTGCGACTCACTCCTCCGAAAGTTCTCCCCTCTGCAGAGGAAAACCTGCAGTCATTCCACTCCTTGCTTCCCCAGGCCAGCCAGACATTCCTATTTTCTAGCCTGGCTTTATTCACTTCAACATCTTGGCCCTCTAGTTCATAAGTTCAATTCTATAGTTCCTGACGTTGAATCCCTCAAACATCAATGAACAAATCAATAAGTTCATTCACTAATTGAACTACGCCCTGTTCCAGGCTTTGAAATAAAGACAAAAAGTAAACTGTTTCCCACAGCACACAGGTAAATATCTAAGTTCATCCACAGCATGGGTGCCATGACCTAAGTTGGGTGGGGGTGCTCTATCCCTCCTCCTCCAGTTTACCCTCTGGGTTTGGTTTCTGCTTAGTCTTTTTTTCTTTTTTTGGTCCTTTTTTCAGTTCTAGGTACAGGTGAATACCCACTGACTCCAGAACGAGCCATAGTGACCTTAGAAGTTGATTTGGAGCCAGATTTGCAGGCAGGCAGCCCAGTAGAGAGAAATGGAAACCCTGAGAATCCAAGATGTCTGGGACTCAAGCCCAAAGGGAACTTTGGACTTGGAACCTAAGACTGTTCTATATAGGAACTGCTCCCAACTATGAACCACTTAATCCTCCAGAGAAAAGGTGAGGGGAGCAAGGTAGGGATTATGCCTTGGTGTTGGGGGGAAAATTGGGGAGGAATGTATGTTCATTCTTTCTATCTCTGAAGTCAATATTCCTTTGTAAAAGCAAGTCTTTTAATTGGTTAAATGGAATAGGTGTGCAGGGGGATCACCCCGCCCAATCCATGGAATTGTGCCAGGGACAAAAGGCTTAGACACCACTCCCCAAATTCCCTTAAAGAGAACCCTGAGGGAAAGGTGAAATGTAACACACCTGACCTTTGTACAGTGGGGGTGGGGAAGAGAAGAGTGGTCACTGTTACATATGGGACCTGGGGTAAAACTGAGCCCTTCGAATTTGCAGGGACCCCTAAATCACATCCCTAAAGTTATGTCACAGCTTCCTCACAACAACCCTGTGAGATTAGGGGTGTAAGTATTATTACTTTCACTTTCTAGATAAGAAAGCTTCCAGGTCAAATATTAACTGGTAAAAGCGAGCCTGAGGTTTTCTGAGCAGTCAGCATCCTTTGCACCATACCATGCTTCTCTTAGGCAACTAGGGGGTGTAATGGATAGAGTGCTGGGCTTGGAGTCAGGAAAACTCATCTTCCTAAGTTCAAATCAGGACTCAACACTTCTAGTGTGACCCTGGGCAAATTACTTAACTCTGTTTGCCTCAGTTTCCTCATCTGTCAAACAAGCTGGAGAAGGAAATGGCAAACCGCTCCCAGTACCTTTGCCAACAAAACTCCAAAAGGGGGTCATGAAAAGTAGGACATGACTGAAAACAAAAACAGCAACAAAAAGACTGTGTCTTTTCACAGCATGGCTATTATAGCTAACTACATCATCACACAAGAAGGATCTTTAACCCTGGATGTTGGAACAGGGGTGCCTTCATTCAGGAATACCTGAATAAGCTGTGATGTAGGAATGACATCATCAACTATGAATGTAAATAAAAGGAAACCAGAAGGCTGGCCTCTGATGCAGAACTGATATCAAAGGGAGTGAAGGGAGAGTGACCTGGAGGTCAGTCGATGTTAGCACCAAGAATCTGATCAGGGTGATGCATTACAACAGAGTGAACCTTAAGGAAGGCAAGGGTGCTGAGTGATAGTAGCAGCGAGGAGTAAGGAGCAAGAGGAAGGTGACTCTACTTCCTGATCCTATATATCTAAGAGCATAAGGGAAGGAGTAGAATGCACAGGAGAGTGCCAGGAAATTAAGATCCCTTCCACATAACAGTAAGCTTCCAGGAATGCAAAAAGATGGAAACGGCATGAGAGTAGATGTAATATGCAGAGAGAACTTGAGAACAAGGGTTGTCACAATGGAGAGGAAAGCGAAGAGGAGGTCAGGGACTGTGAGGGTGTAGGTCTAAGACGGATATGGATGAAGGCTCCAGGAGAATTAGGAAGGAAGGAGGTTTCTGCCTTCACAACACTGAATCAATGGGTCATTCACACACCTCAGCCCAAATAGAGACAACTCCACCCCACAAATACTTACCAAAACCTTCTATACATTCTAGACATGACTTAATACAGTGTCAGCATTTAACAAAATGCTAAATATATACAGGGAAAAGAAGGCTAAATTTTAACAAGGATAATTTGCTCTGGTCAAATATTTGTTGTTCCAAGTCCTTTCCCAGTTTTTAATAAAGAAAACACACACTACACACATATTCCGTACTAAAAAGATAAATATATCTCAGGCCAAAGGGTGTCACCTTAGACTGACCAAACAGCAGAAGAAACCTCCCCTGAACATTAAACTCACTAATTTGTCTGTGATGGTCTTGTAGCAACTTCTCTGCAAGCAAATGACCACACAGAAGGTTAGGTGAAACAAATTCAAGGCCAAAAATTACTTAAAATACTCAGTTCACAAATAACATACCTGGTCCCTGTCCATCCACAAGCCAGTAACCGCTCCTAGACCCGTGGGCCCTCTACAAGCACCCCATTTTAGACAAATGTAAAACAATTTCAGACTTACACAACAAATTAAGAGGTAATTATTCACTTCACATTATTAATTTAGTATAAGACACCTTTATTAGTACACTGAAACTATCCATTTGATTTTTCAAAAAAAAAAAATCAGATATATATGAAGAAAGTTTTAAGGTGAAGTATGCCTATAGACAAACATTTTATTTAATAGAAAAATTAGTACACTGTGAACCAAAACACTACATATTGTGAGAAGAAAATGATACCTGGAAAAAAGCATATCTGTGCATACATGAGACCACTTGCCCAAGATAATCCAAAGCTCATCAAACTTGGAGTCAGAGGACCTAGATTTGAATCCTGAGCTCTACTATCTGTGACTTTGAACCAATCACTTAATATCTCTGGGTCCTACTTTTTTCATTTGCAAGTAAAAGGGTTGGACTAAATCTCTAAAGTCTCCCTGTACTCTTAACTTCTAGGATCTCTGGCATTCCAATAAAAAAAAAAAAGGTGGAAAGACTGGCCAGCAGACGGAGAAAAAGCAGATTGGCCAATTTTGTTTGCTTCCCAGACATGTGAAATGTAGTTTTTTGGTTTTTATTTTTAAAGAGACAGAGAGAGAGAGAGAGAGAGAGAGAGAGAGAGAGAGAGAGAGAGAGAGAGAGAGAGAGAGAGAAAGACAGCTACTTGGGCAGTCTTCGAAAGAGAGACTTTAAGAACACAAAAATTATATGAAGATTAAAAGAAACAGAAAGGGATAAAAGATAAAAATTAGAATTATAGAAATATTGCAGGCAAAATATATTTCATCTACATTAGGTTATTCTATTTGTGTGTAAATGTTAGTTACAATTCACTCAACTGTAAATTCTTTGAGGATAATGCCTTAGTTTGTACGAAGAGGACCTAGCAGTTTTAACAGGCTACAAAATCAGCAGAAATCATCAATTCGACAAGGAAGCCAAAAAAGATTGTGGAAAAGACTGTGAAAAGAAGTCAACAAGCATTTATTAAGCACCTACTATGTGCTATGCATGGTGCTAAATGCTAGAGATACAAAGAAAGTACCACCCTTCCCCTCTCCCAAAAGCAGGATCTTCCAAGGTAATAAATAATCCCAGCCTCCTCAGAACACATCTGGGAAGTTGTGTTCAGATCTGGGTGCAACATTAATGGACAACCGAAACAGGGAGCAGATTGGAAACCAAGTCATACAGGGACTGGCTAAAGGAACTGGGGATTCTTACCCTACAGAAGAAAAGACTGGAGGTCTTGAAGTACAAACAAGATGCTCACTTACATAGAAGGGATTCCTAATCAGGTATGGGTTGGAATAAATAACCCCTGAGGTCCTTTTCAATGCTGAGACTCTAAGAATTTATATTTCTATTTCTCCTAGTGACATAAATGTTTGTTGAGCAGATGAGTAGATGCCACTGAACTCCTAGCACTTTGTGGCAGTCCCAACATAAATTTGGCCTTAAAATCACTGAGATTAAGGCATTGGGCATACAAAAATGAAAAATGAAAGTCTCTGTCCTCAAGAACCTATACTCCATTTCTGGAGTCAATGGTTTCTGTATAACATCCTTCCCCACACTAATAA